TTTTTGTGCACACCCCCCCTTTCTGGAGCACGGATATCCATGCAGACACACGTGTGTGTTATCCCGTGCATTTTTACACGTGCATCACCCCAACAAGACAGAGGGCTGCATGATCCCCCTCCCCACTATTTTTTTGCCCCCATTTAACCATATTAATTTTAAACACTGGGCGGGGAGTGTGCTGCTGCCTTCGCACCACGGAGCGTCACCCAGCGCCAAACCAAACCATCACCCCGTTTTAAAGCTTCCGACCTTGCACCCAGCCAGAGGGAGGCCAGGAGAAACCTCCAGCCCCTTTTTTATTTCAAACTCGGGCCGAGGGCGGCTGCCGCCACCAAAGGCACTTTTGCAGGGACGGGGAGTGGGGTTGGAGGAGGAAGAGGAGGAACATCGGTGCTGGGGCCGCGTCAAGGCACCATGTGCCACCATTTGAAGGCGAAGGGCTTCCGGCGGACGTTGGTGCCACAGTGGACCTCGCCGGAGAGGATGTGGTAGGAGAAATAGTCGTCGATGAAGGTGCAGGTGAGGCCCAGGGGCTCCAGCAGCGCCCGCACCCGCTGCTCCAGGCAGCACTGCCCACCCACCCGCGGTTGGGTATGCCCAAGTGTCTGCCCAGCACCAGCATGTTCACCTGCAGCACGAGGGTGGGGGTGAGGGTGCAAAGCCCACCCTAAATTCACAGCCAAGGGTCAGGGGAAAGCAGGAGGGTGGTGGGTGTTACCATGTCGGGGAAGAAGGCTTCGGCACCAGTGGCCACGTCGCCACGGAAGAGCTGCGGGATGTCGAGGATGTCCGGCTCCGTCAGTCCCAGCGCCCGCTTCAGGATGTCCCTGTTCCAGCTGATGCAGCTCTGATGGGAGGGAGGGGAGGGGGTCAGCAGGGGGAGGGAAGGTAGGAGGGATGGTATAGAGGGAGGGACGGACAGACACAGGACAAATGGATGGACAGAGGGAGGGAGGGATGGAGCAATGGGTGGCCAGATGGGATGGACAGAGGCACAGATGGGTGGAGAGGTGGACAGATAGAGACATAGAGAGATGGATGGACAGAGGGACGGGTCGATTGATGGAGGGACAAAGGGACGGAGAGAAGGGACAGAGAGAAAGAGGAATGGGTAGGTGGATGGATGGACAGATAGACAGGACAGGTGGACAGATGGAGGCATAAGCCATTCCTCACCTGGACGTAATTATTGAATTTCCGCAGGGTTTCGTTCGCCAGAATCTCGTTTATCGTCGGCTTGGGCACCTTCTCCAGACCTGCAGCACAAATAACCAGGCAGGAATTCTTCACCCAAAACATTTGGGACGAGAATCCGGCTCTGAGCCAGGGGCTCCCCCATTTCAGAAGACAGCGGCAGTGAGATCCCACCCCGGGAAATCAAATCTATGCGGCTTTTTAATTAATTCTGCCGATTTCTGCCCCACGTCCTTGCTGCTGGCAGGGCTTCCCAGCCGTTAGCTGGGTTTCACGGTGCCGTGCGTTCCCCCACCCCGTTACATTTTGCAGGAAAAAGGGAAAACCAACTCATTGAACCCCGTTTTTCATCCTTCCCCCTACCCTGGAACATCGCCGCCTCGCCGAACCCCTCCTCCTGCTTCTCCTTGAGGAGCTGGTAGCAGGCGCTGGGGCTGGCCAGGAGCAACCGAAAACCCTGGGAAGGGAGAAGGGAATGATTTTTTTGGGGGGTAGTGGGGGTTATAAAGGTTGCACCCCACTTTTTCCACCCCACAGGACTCGTTACCTTCCGATCGGGCGCGGGGACGAAGCTGAGAAATTCATCTACGTGGCCGACGTGGAGCCAGTCCGAAAACAGCTCCACAGGCGCCTGCACTTGTTGGGCAACGAGAAAATCCTTGACAGCTTTTGCCATCCGTCGGCCGCCAAATCTGGGGGGGCACAAGGGGGTTGCTGTCATTTCGGGGTGCCCAAGGTGATGCTCTGCTTGCAACCGACCTCGAACGGTGCATAAAAATTTTTTTTTTTTGATTATTTTTGGTTTTCTCTCCAAGCTTGCATCTCACCTGGGGAAGCTGCTGCCGATCAGGATGCGGCCCAAGGGATACTCTTTGCCCTGCACTGTCACGGGGGGGCTCACCTCCAAATTCCCAAAGGAATCGAGGCTGGAAGCACCCTCCGGCGCTTGCCGGGCCACGTAACCGAAATCAGGGCCCTGGACAGGGGAAAAAAAGGTGATAACGGTTCAAAGACGATAATGGTTAAAAAAAAGAGTTATAAGAACCCAAAATGCAGCACTCCCAAACCAACCCTCATGCTGGCTCTTCCCTTCCCTAAAATGCAAGAAAAAAACTAGATTTATTCTGGTTTTTTATGGGTTTGCAAAGCTTTATGCCTTGCTGGGGGATGGAGGAGGAAAAGGTCGGGTACCAGGATGCTCTTGACGGGGAAATCCTTGAGCCCCCGGTCGCGGGGCGAGTCGAAGACAACAGGGAAGGTCTTGTGGGGGGCTTGCACATAGCCGAATTCAACCTCGTCCTGGAGAAGAGATGGAGAAGATGGAAGCCCACTTGGAGCTGCTGCAGCAAGGATGGGGTTGGGCATCATCCTGCCCCCACCTGGATCCAGCGGTCCAGGCGGTTCTCCGGCAGCGGGCAGACGGTGAGCGGGCACTTGGCTTTCTCAGCCAACGCGCCCACGGCAGCCACGAAATCCTCGTTATCGTCCACACTTGAAAGAAAAATAGGATATTGGGGCTGATCCAGCACCGGGCAGGATGCGGCCGCTCACCCAGCACCCACCTGCAGACAAAGACCTCCAGCGGTGCCAAAGTGTTGGGAGTCATGATCCACGGAGCCACGCGGAAAACCACCGTGTCGGTGAAAATCGGTGTCTCCAGTAAACCCTGGGGTGGGGAGGGGACAGCGTTTGGATTCAGCTGCCCCTCGTTACGGCTCACCCCAGAACCCCCCAGCCCCGTGCCTGGTACCTTCTCAGGGCTCTCCAGCAGCGTGACATGGAAAGCCACCAGCCCCGAAAAGCCGGCATCGGGGAAGGCGAGTCCTTCCACGTAGAAGACGCTCTCCTCTTGATGCCGGCTGGGTTTGACGGCGTAGACGAGCTTCGAGCCCCCCAGCACGTGCTTGTACTCCTCCAGCGCAACGCTGTCTGCGGGCACAAGCCCCTTTAATCAACCCACCCCTCTTCTGCACCGTTTCAGCTCTGTATTTTTTGCTAAAACCTTGCAAAAAAGGCATATTTAATCCCGTGGAGCATGCACGGGGCAGGGGGGAGCAAAATCACCCGGTGCATCAGGTAAAAACCCCGCCGTTGGGATGTAGGTTGCATGCTGCAGAAGCGGTATCCGCTCTGCTGTGAGCATTTTGCTTGAACCTTGATAATTTGGGGTGTCTGTGTGTGTCCCCCCACCCCAAAATCCCAGTGCTGGGCACTCACTGCCACCGTAGAAAACGCCGACTTTATCTGCGTCGCCAAAGTCCACGTGGAGGAGGAGGCGGTGGCCGGTGAAGATGGTGCGGGGACCTCGGGTCCTCAGCACCATCTGTGACATGTCCTTCAGGTCTAGGGTGGGAAAGGAGCATCAGGAAGGAAAATCTGGGGGAAAAATATAGGAAAATGAGAGTTTCTTGTGTGGGATGTGCCAGTACCAGCGTAGGAACGGATGGTGGTGTCGTCGTTATCCAGCGTTTTGGCTTCAGGGTCGTCGCGGTCGCAGTTCACCAGCAGGATGGCTCCGTGTCCATCAGGACCCCACGTCCATGTTGCCTGGGGTGGGCAGTAAAACAAGGCTGGTGACAGCCAACCATCAGCCCCCGCCACCCCACGGTGGTCCCAGGGGACTCCCACCCCCCGTTATACCTTGTCCAGCAGCGTCCTGCTCACCGCTCCGCTGCGGCTGGTGTCAGCATCCAGCGAGACCTCTGCAGGGAGAAGGATGCTGGGGGGAGGGGGGCCATCCCTACCAGCACCACGATTTGGGGGTATCCCCCCCCTCCACTTACCCACGCAGGTGAGGTACAGCATGGCTCTGCCCACAGGTCCCCCGCCGGCCTCCCCGAAATAAGAAATCCTGACCTGCAACAAGGAGAGGGCGTTCACCGGCGTGCAAAGAAGGGCCAGATCCTGCTGACGTGCCAGCACCCACCTTTTCATCACCCACGTCCTTGCTGAGAGCATCCATGGCCAACAGCACCTCGGCGCCGGCGGCCAGGGGCCAGCGGCACACGCTGGAGGGCAACTTGACGCTCTGCGTCTCGTGCACCACGTAGAGCTTCACGCCCGGCGTCCCTTGCACGTGGAAGGTGACGGCATCTTTGGGTGCAGATCTGGAGGGTGCAGGGGGGGGAAAAAGCCCAGTGAGAGCCCTGGGTTTGGGGCATTGCTGGAATAATATAGCGTGTGGCCACCCGCAGGTGATGCAAATCCTGCCACGTGCAAGAAGTCTTGCAATACGCAAGGAATCCCGCGAGGTGCATCGGCAACAAGTCGTGCAAAAGGCAGCGAAGCCTGCAAAACGTGACTGCAACAAGTCCTGCAAGATGCAATTGCAGTAAATCCTGCAAAATGCAATGAATCCTGCAACATGCAACTGCAACCAGTAGTTTAATAGGCAACAAGTTCTGCAAAAGGCAATTGCCACAAGTCCTTCGATCCGCAAGGAATCCTGCAAAGCGCGATTATAACAAATCCCACGAAAGGCAATTGCGACGAATCCCGCAAAAGCCGATTACAACAAATCCTGCCAGAGGCAACGAATCCTGCACAAGGCAATGAATCCTGCAAAAGGCAATGGCAATGAATCTCACAATGTTCATTGCAACAAATCCTGCAACAGGCACTGAGTTTTGCAGCATTCCGTTGCATCAAACGATGCAAAATGCAACAAATCCTGTGATATTAATTGCAGTAAACCCCAAACGCGCACCGAATTTTGCAATATTCAATCGCAACGAACCCGGCAAAAAAACACAAGCCCTGCAACGTGCAATGGCAACAAATCCCGCAAATAAATTCCTGCAAAACGCAATTGCAATGAATCCTGCGATATCCCATCGCAGCAAAACCCCGGAATGGGTGTGTGGGGTGTATTTTGGCATGAGGCTGCCCAAATATTTGCATTTCACCCTGAGGCGGCGAGCCCTGACCAGTTGCATCCCCTTAAGAGCGAAGCGAAGGCGCGACGGTCGGGCGACGGGGCAGGCTGCGGCTCGTGTTTTTGGTGCTCTGCCTGGGTGCGAGAAGCCACGGGCGATGGGCCAAGGAGCACAAATCCTGACCCTCAAGGGGGGAAACGTGGTGCCATCCCCAGGGTGGAGGGGAAAAAAAAAACAAAACACCACCCCGGGGCCACGGGGAGAGGATGGGATGCGGTCGGCAGTGATGGTGCAGTGGGTTTGGATGCATTAAGGAAAATAAAACCCCCTGAATCGCAGCTGGAGCTGGGCTTTAAGGAAGCAAAAAGCAAAACGTGCTGCTGAAAAGCACTTGAACTTGGGCTGGGGCCAGCGGAGCAGCCGGTGCCGGGAGGTGACGCCCCGGCCAGCAGCGCTGCCGCGGTTTCGCTCTCCCCGTTCCTTCGAAATATTTCCGTTTTGCTGGGAGGACGCAGCAGCCCCTGGCCGGGATGTGGAACTCAGCTCGGGGCATCGCTTAAAGCTCCCGGCGTGGGGGGCTTATTCCATCCCCAAAAACCTGCAAAATCCCTCGTGGAGGAGTCCCGGCCCGGTTGCGGCATCACGATTTGGAGC